AAAAAAAATCGTAAAAATTACTCTTTTAAGAGCTAAGGATGTCCTTTAGTGGAAACCCTCAGGGCCACACACAAAAGGAAAAGCCTTTCGATAAGACACAAGCTGCAAAGACTGGTATATACAAGGTGATTCCAACAGTATGACATTCTGGAAGACACAGCTACACATGCAGTAAAAAGTAAGTGGTTTCCAGGAGTTGGGGATGAAGGAGGCGTAGGTGGCACTGAGGGCTTGGGACGGACATCTGCCTGGTGACCAGTGGGCACCTGGCATTGTCACAGCCCCAAGAGCTCATCCCCGAGGAAGCTGTGGCCTAGTGCTTCTGAGTGTCGCTGTGGGTGCGTCAGCAGCTGCAGAGGCCCGCTGGGGATGTTGATACTCATCAAGAACACATGGGGAGTCCCTGGACACCCTCCCAGGGTTCTCTAAAAGGTATTCGGTGCTCATGCCTCATTTGTGCTAGGCACGCTGCCCCGGAGTATCGCATTCATTTTTTAAAGCATGACCCTTCCTAAGAGCAAATTGTCCAAGAGTGTCCAGAAGGCCCAGACCACGTGACACTGGGAGAGAAAGGCATGGGGACATCAACGATTCTCTTGGAACAGGCGATAGGCTCATGGGCTGCATGCTGTTTTCTGATCCCATGGGGTTGCTAAGCCCTGGAGCCAAATGTCTCTTGAGGGAGAAGAGGCTGGCCTGTGGGCAGGTGGCCTGGCTGGCAGTTGATGTGTGTCCAGTCAGGACCAGGCCGTGGGGTGCTTACAAGCGCCACTGGGTAGAAGTCATTGTTTGGCAACACTTGCCAAGGCAGTCACTGTCTACCCTTGGTGAAGTAAGCCTGAGACTCCCCTTCCTGGCAGGAGATTGTCTCTGCTTGCCAGGGCCCTTGGGAAATTCTTAGCATCTGTGTGGAGACGGCCAGATGGTTGCTTCCCAGATTCTAATGTGAGGAGGCAGCAGCTGGGGACCCTGCTGCCTGAGAGTCTGCATCCCTTTGGTCGCCGGCCCATGGCAACCCTTGGAGTCGTGAGCTGCAGATGAGCCACACAGGCCGAGCGCAGTGAGACCCATGAGGTTACACTTGGCCCAAGTCCACCTTCTCTGAGCGGTTGTATAACCTGTATTACATTCAAACCTGATACGCAGAGTAGTGGGATCGAGTTTGTTCAGCTGAGGGCATCTGCCATGGGTAAATGGCAGAATTTGGCTTCTTGTTTTTTTTTTTTTTTTTGAGACACAGTCCTTTTAGGCTGGTTAAGAACTCCATAGCCCAGACTAGCTGGAACTCTTGGCAATCCTGCTGCCTCAGCCTTCCAAGTGCTGGGATCACAGGCATGTGCCTCCACACCCAGACAAGTTTGGTATGCTTTTTCTTAATATATGAGTCTTGGTTTTCATCAGCATGGTATCAAAGGCTAGAAATTGAAATATAGTACTGGGACGACAACAGACAAAAATTGCATCCTTTACATTTTTTTAATTGGATTGTTCACATTTATGTTGAGTAGTTAAAAGTTCTTATCTAACCTGGATATATACCCAGGCTCTCTTTAAAAGATATGTTTGATATCTTTTATTTTATTTTATTTTATTGAAAATGGAAATATACTTTCTAAAGTTTCTAATGCTAGGAGAAAATATCATGTCTTTTAAATAGATTTTAAGTCAGATATACAGTATAAATCTTAAAGCAAAAACTAAGATTAAGCAATATTCAGAAAATTAAATACTAATTAATTAAAAATTAAATGTTTCAAAACAATTGAACTAAGAAAAAGATTTCATGATCGTAAAGAATTACTAAGAATAAAACATAAGATGAGTACTGGAATGACAAATAAAAGACCAGCACTTCTAACAGTTTGGGGATAGGATATCGCACAAAGTTCTAGTATGTCATGGACATGGATAATGTCCCTAACACTTACTGGTGGCCAGGTGTCACTTGCGGGACTGAGCTACTGCTGTTTCCTTGACATCCACCCTGTAGACCCAGACAGAATCATGACCCATAGGGTGGAAGAGAAGTCCATTTGTAGAGTGTGCTGATGGAAATATTCTGCTGCTGTATACAAAAGAATAACTGAAAGACTGCTTTTGTATCCCTGTTATTCACCTGTGTTTAATTGTTTGCCCTATTTGGTGGGTTCTTTCCATTCTCATTCATGGAGCTGTGATCAATTTGCTCCCTCCCTAGGACATCATTTAGTATTCTCTGTAGGCTTGGCCTTGTCATCATGAAATTCTTTAGTTGTTCTTTGTCATGGAAGTATTTCACTTCTCCATTATACTTGAAATAGAGTTTTGCAGGGTATATCAGTCTGGGTTGCAAGCTGTTTTTTTGCAAGGCTTGAAGTACTCTGCTCCATGCTCTTCTTACCTTGGTTTTTTTTTTTTAAGAGAAGTCAGCCGTAATTATATTGTTCCTGTGCTGAATTTCTGGGATCTTGATTATTATATGTCTGGGTGTGGTTTTCATTGGGTTGATGTTATTCAGAATTCTATATGCTTTGGTTATGTGAATGTCAGATTGTTGCCCCATATTTGGGAAGTTTTCTGCTGTTACTTCTGCCCATATTCTTTTTATATCATTTGTACTGACTCCTTCCTTCTCATTGATGCCTATTAGTCTCACATTGTTCTTCTTTGCATCGTCTTGCAGGTATTGCATTATTTTTTCCTGCATCCTAGTTGTTTTTAAGGGATCTTTTCTTACTTTTTCACTAGCTGCAATGGTGTCTTTCAGGTCGGAAAGTCTATTCTCACTTTCATTCAAACGGTTTTGCCAGCTTGTGATTGAAGTTTTAAATTCCTGTATAGCACTTTGGATCTGCTTCATGCATTCTGTTTCTTTCCTAGAGTGCTTATTCAAGGAGTCCATCATTTTTATATTCTGCTCTATTTTTTATCAGTGTATGCTCTAGAAGCACTTAGTACTTCTTTCAGTATAGTTATCATTTCTTTTTTTACTTCAGAAATTATTTCTGATCTGATTTCTTCTATACCTTCCTGTAGTTGTTTCTTTACTTCAGATGCTATTATTTCAGAGATTTCAGGTGTGTGATTTCCAATTCCTTCTATGCTAGTGTCTTCTGCCTTTGTTCTGGGTGGGCTCAGGGCCTGAGACTGCATTTTGTTCCTTCTCTTTGTCATTTTCTACAGGACTGTCTTCTGACCTTTAGTGTAGAGCTTAGATAGAGTTATTACCTTAGCACCAGGTCCGGATCTACAAAGTTCAGACTCCTCCAGGTGGGTGGCTTGGGTCTGGCTGCTGCGCTCCACTTCTTCCTGCTGTAGCCCCTGGAGGTGAACCCCCTGTGCCACTCTGGCAAGATGTTCTGCTCCTGAATCAGCTGGGTGGGTCTTGCCTCTAGCCTCTTTGCAGGGAGTTGTGCTGAAGGGTTCCACAGCGGGCCTGGATTCTGGGTTGAATGAGGATCCAGCAGGCCCTGGGTCATCTCACTTAAATGCCGGGCCTGGACTCTGAGTCAAATGAGGATCTGGCGGGCCCCGGGTGGTCTCGCTCACATGCCAGGCCTGTGCTGGGTCGAATGAGGATCCGGGGGGCCCCAGGCTCACACGCCAGGCCTGGGCTCTGGGTCCAGTGAGGATGCAGGTGGGCCCCGGGCCGTCTCACTCACACACCAGGCCTGCACTCTGGGTCAAATGCGTCCTTTACATTCTGAGTAGAAATGAGCAAATGTAGGTAGGTGGAATACATTAGGTGTTGATCCACGTGAAGGAAACAGTGAAGCAGGAGAGGAGCAGAGTGTTGGAGCAGTCCGTGGCTGGTGACGGAAGAGGTAACAGGAAAGGTCATGCAGACACCTGCCCACTCTGAGTGACACCTGCTGTGGTCATGGAGGCTGCACAGTTGTAGCAGAATGACCAGAGGACACTGACAGAGCCATGCGAGGACAACTGAGCTTCCCTGGCTTGTCACCTGAAGGAGGTGACAGGCACCTGGAGGGTGGGGATGCAGGTGACTATCAGAGACAGTAAGGAGAGGGCTTCACATGTTTTTCAGTTGGGAACTGAAGCAGAAAGTACACAGGCAACAACTGATATCTATGAAAAGGAAGCTGCTATGGAAATGGACTACAGCCCTCTGCAGGGGGAGTTGAAGGTAACAAAGATTTCTGTTGATTTACTAATAGCAATACTGAGTATTCAAATACTGGAAAATCATTTTTAGATGTGAAGACACATCCAGAAGTGAAAACCACTTCTCTATCTTGGCAGCACTGACACCAGGTAGGTGGGTCTGCCTCAGCACGCGGTTCTGCAGCACTCTGCACCACCTGAGCACACATCCCGCCTCCCTATCCATGGTCCCCTCCTTAGCTACGTGTGACGGAGTGATGAGAGGGGTGCAGGGCTCCAGGGGGCTGTGTGTTCATCAGCTTCCTACGGAGGCCATGACTCGGGAAGAGCCTGTGGGAGACCCACAGCGCGCTGCCTCCCGGCTCTCCGCCGTAGCGCCTGCGTTCCCAGCAAGTCTCCAGCCTTGCTCCATTCCCCAGAGTGCAGGTGCTGAAGGTTCTTAAGACAGTGTCTCACTGTGTAGTTCCCCCCTTCAAAGCCAGCCGCTACCACCAACTCAGATGGGCTGCAGGGGCTTATTATCAGTAACAAAAGGTACTCCTTTCATCCGTGCCATTCAGGTTTTAGGGTCTCTGGGCCAAGCCCCAAACTGAAGGCAAACTGCACATTTCTTCTGCCACAAAACAGCCATACATTACTTTAGGAACATTTCTGTCAGCTGGGCATGATGGCCAATGTGGGCTACATAGTTCGAGGACAGCATGAACTACCTAGCGAGACCTTGTCTCAGAAAGACTTCTGTCAGTGCATTTAATCACTGTTCTGCAGGACATGCTTCTTTGGAACATCCAGTCAGCCACTGGCTAACTCCACTTTTTATGGGGTCACAATGAATATTGAAGTCTTTGCAAACTCCTGCAAAAACCATAGTGGCCTCCCGGGCATGGTGGCACATACCTGTAACCCCACCACGTGGGAGCTGAGCAGGAGGATTGCCATGAGTTTGAGGCCACCCTGAGCTACAGAGCAAATTCAAGGCCAGTCTGAACTACATAGTGAGACACTGTCTTAAAAATTAAAGAAGTGGCCCTTGCTCCAGCACCCGAGTTCCCTGTCCCAGTGTCGTGCCTGTGCGGGCTTGGGCTTCTCCTGCCTCCTCGTGCAGCAGCCCGGCTGAGGCCCAGCCAGCTCTGAGGCTCCTCCCGGGCCCTGTCATCAGGCTGCGTTTCCCAGGACGCAGTGATTGGAGCCGTCTGCACCGTCCAGCCCACAGCTACCTCCCCAGAGGAGCAGCCCACCTTTCAGGGTACTACTGTGTGGTTGAAGGGAGGTTTCCCTGCAGAGCCCCACCAGCCGACCCACATCACAGTGGCCTGGTGGGGTGGTACGTTCATTTTGGGGCTGTCACTGAAGGTGGAGGGACTCAGACCTCGCTCGAGCTTGGAAGGCCTGTGCCCCTGTGCACCCCTCAGCCCCATGTGGGCGGCAGACGGTGCAAAGAGGATGACGCCAGGAGCAGCACTCACCACCCACCATATTTTTAAATTCATATGTGGTTAATAGGCTTGTAAGTTTACATTCCACTTGTGACATCCTTTGGAAGTGAGAAAGTAGCATTTTACTTCTCTAGGTTTTTTGTTTCATGCTTTCTCTATTTGCTTCTGTTTAACAAGTCCCTTTCATCTTACTGTCTAGTAAATGCTTAAATACCATCTTGCCATTTATGGCTTTCTTATATTCATTCACCTGTTTCACTCATCTGAAATTTATTTGAATGTGTAGGATGAGTTCATCCATTTTCAAGTAATTCTCTTGGTGAATGAAAATGTCACTTCTGTCATGTATTCCTTCACGCCCTCTGGAGTCAAGTTTTCCTGAAAAGGCCTGGCTCCCCTTGCCCCTCTGTCCTCATCCTGGCTCTCTAATTCGCAGTAAGCACTCGGTAGTTTGTCATGAGCGAGGACACTAAGCTGATACACGCAGGAGTGTGGCTTTCAGCCCAGTTACAGAGTGAGGAGGGAAATGCGGTCCAAGAGCATCACAGCCAGCACCAGAAGCTCAGGCGTGCAGCTGCTGGGGTGCACAGACCCCGGGCTGCCGAGGCGGTGCAGTGGGCTGGGCTGGCCTTCGGTCTCACCCCCGGTGCATCAGAGAATTGTCCCTGCCCTTGCAGGCTCTGCAGTCAGATAAGGAGGTGGAGGCCCACCTCACACTGCTGATGAGGCAAGTGGCATCCCAGGAAGACAACCTGCTGAAGATGGCAGCCCCGAACCTGCGAGCCCTGGAGAACTTGAGGATGGTCAGGGACAAGTTCCAGGAGTCCACAGACGGTGAGGCAGAGCTCAGTCTTGGCTCTCATTTCTTGCGCGTGTGCATGGTCCTCCCAGGATTGCACCTTCCTTTCTAGAACACCATTTCCTGTTGCCTTATTTTCACATGTGCTACCAGTACTGAATCACTAATTGCCTCCTTTTTGGAGTGTCCTGCTTTAATTTGAAAACAAGTTTATTGGCTATAGATAATTTTTCATGCCAGAAAAAATATTACTGTCAAAATGTGTCAGTATTATTTAGATGCTGGGGATATAGCTCAGTGGCATAAGCGCCTACCTAGTAAGCGCAAGGTCCCAAGTTTGATCCCCAGTACAAAAAAAAAAA